TGTACTTCAGATTTTGGTGTCATATTTTTCCATCCTTTCTTAAAATATTTATATCAATAGAAATTACAGAAATTCAAATCTGGCTCAATGCTTGAGAGCAGCCAATAAAGTTATATTTCATATATTTAGGCAATACTCTATTTTAAAAGTAAACAAAAATACTCTTTCTTTGTTCTCACAAAGTATTGTTGAAAATGCAGAATAAATAATACAACAGTATAAATTTTATCAAATATTTTTTAAATAATACTTTGAGAATCCCACACAGACATATCATTAAACTCAATTTCTTTTATTTCATTGACCAAAAAATTTATTCAAACAAATTCCTTGCTAACAAGATTGCTAATTCTGCCACGAGTTATTTAGTAATAGTAAGTACTTAGAAAGGAGTGCCATACAGTAGCCAGATGACACTTTAGAGAATTTTTCAGGGAAATTGTACAGCTCTTAAGTAAATTATAAATGACTAATCCAGCTGACATACAAAACAGATAAAAAAAGAATTCCCATAAACTTTTTGTCATCTTTTATTATCAATTTATTTTGCATACATGTTAAACACAAAGTAAAATAGTCATTTTACAAACCACTACCAGTACTTTAAAAGCAAATTATTTGCATATATGAAACTTTGTATGTATATGTGTTATATTTATGGGGGAGGAGTGCTCCAATATTTGAGATAATGCTTTTTACAGAGGACACAGACAGAACATTGATCTTAGTTCTAAGTGCTATGGAGTAACAATGATAAAAGCAGAAATGCAATCATTTTTTTTTTTTTTTTTTTTTTTTACTATGCTATTACAGTATTGCTATAATGATTGTTAATTCTGATTTCGAACAAGACAAAATATATGGAGATATAATATGCATGTATGCTCATAGAATTGGTGGGGGTGCAAAAATATTTTTTTTTCTCAAGATTAAAAGATAGGCAATAGGAACTTAAATTAATAGAGGGAATCCATTGTTGGTTTAGTGTTAAAATTGTTTTATCACTGAAAGGCTCCACTACTGTTGGTATCAGGTTCCCCCTGCATCATTTTAAGATTAGTTTACTGATGTTAAATCCTTGCTATTATTATCTTTTTAACTTGAATCTTTAAACAGATTTTTATTTATTTATTTCCAATTATTATTGTTGTACTTTCTTCTTTCACAGAGTCAGTCTTCTGACCTATTGACTTTGTAAACATCTTTGAACACCCTGTCATTGTTGTAACAAAGATTCTGTCACTTAGCATCGCCATTGTAAGGGAGATAACTCTAGTATAGGAAACAACATTTTGCTAATATTCATCTATGTAATGGCAATGAGACAATTGTGTAACTCCAAGATTTAACTCTAGCAGGTCATTTACAAAATAGTCTGTCATTCAGAACACCATCTTAACTCTTTATTACTTTGAATGCATTAGATAACAATATCATAAGGATTCCAGCCAAAGCTCAATACATATTGAAACTGAATTTATTGCACCTGTAAGCAAGTCATTGATTTGTTGCATGAGGTATACTTGTTGTCCTAATAACCAGGCTTCATTATGCTGATCTGAGCATGTACACAAGCCATCTAGTTGTCTGAACATATAATTTTAGTGATGTGTTGAAGTACTTAGTTTATTCTTTATAGATACTAAGTTGTGGTGTTCTTTTTTAATTTTATTCAGCAGCAGAAAGAGTGACCATTTTGTTTATTATTTGTTGTGCACTTTTCTGTATTGTAATGACACTTTTCTTTATTACTAGCACCATGGCTGACAAGAATGGATGATGTACTTTGCTGTTTGTTCATGTGTTTTTACTGAACGGTGTATAGATTGCTGTCATGTGTATGTTCTTTACTGAATAAAATCCAAGAAATATATTCTGGTTCTACTAAAAAGTTTTGTCTTTCTTTTATATAAATTCAGATTTTGTTGAATCTTCATGAAAAGTCCCAAAATATAAAATTTTTTAATTTGTTAAAATGCAAAGAAAAATAGTAAAAAAATATGTCCCCTCCTTGCACACCTCCCACCAAAAAACTGAAATTATTTTGCTAGGATAGTCATAAATAGTTTCAAACTGTATTATACATTTCTTTACTAATGCCAATTTTTGAAATCTCAAGGTATTAATAAGTATTTTATCAGTTGAAGAAAAATGAATATCAACTCTTAATTTCTATTATGATGCCAAATCAAATGTTAAATATCTCAAAATTGTGAAATTATTTTAATTATTTGAGGAGTTCCAGATTAAAAAAAGACTATTTTGTTCAAATTTTCAAATAAATTATATCAATATTTATGTAATTTTTCAATTGAAGTGGTTATATTTTCTGTGTGTGTAATCTAGAAATCTTCACAATTAGTTCTACTGTTACAGGTAAGAAAGAATTCTAATTTTTAAATCAGTAATAGTAAAATGACCAAAAAAGTAAAAATATCCAAAGAAAGTTAACATAAAACAAATAAAAACTATGATGAGGATGTTAGTTAAAAGAACATACTAAATATTAAAGAAACTAACATTAGTCAGCTATTATTCTGAAGATCAGAGTAAGCTTGTTAGAATATTGTTAAGTATAAAGCAAAAATTAACAAAACAGAAAAAGTTATTCAGGTCAATAAGAATAAAATCTTTTTTCTTAATCATATATAACAGGGTTAGCTAAATCATGGCTCATAAGCTTCATTCAGCTCTTTGATGTTTCAAGTGCAGCTCATAGAAAAATATGTTGGTTGAACTCTTTTTCTCATCACAGTTAATATAAAAAGATAATAAAGATGTAAGCTTTATAATTATTTACTGCATATAAACTTTGATTCTATTGGAATAAAATACAAGTTTAATGTTCCTAATTAGTAAAAAATTATTTAAGAATTTAAATCCTAATTTTAATGTTAGCTTTGAGTGAAGCATTGTTGTTCAGTGCTGAAGGAAAAGAATGATTGGAGACAAAGGGATTTTAAGAAATTCAGGTCAGCAAAGGTTACAGATGAAAGGTTATATCTTGCAGTCTCAAATATCTGAGTTTATCATATGTCGCTCTTACATTAAACTAATATGGCTACCTATGCTATCATGAAAAGAATGACTTTTTAGCATGTTTATTTGTAACTTATGTCATGTTAAAGTAAACAGGTGTGTAAAGTGAATCCTGATCTGATTTGAACATCTGACCTGGAGGTGAGCAGACAAGTGACATATTTACTACACTAGCATTATGCTGTTTGAACAGTATGGTAAAATTAATTTGTAAACACTAAATTTAGCACACAGGTGTGACACTGACCCCATGCAGAGTGCACAGATTTGATGGCCTTATGTATAACTGATAATCCATATATAAATAAGTGTTTCATCCATTTTTTTTACAATTATTCTGCTTGTTGCTTTATAGTACAAGAGTATATTGAAAAGTTCTTGGTTCAACCCACTTCTCAAAATCTAACCAAATATCAGATTTTGAATTTCCTTCTGGGTTGAGCTATGGACTTTTCAGTCCACCTTAGTATTCTATACCTTTTTACAATAGAAAAAAATTATCAAGTTTCTAAACAGTTAAAAGTTAATACTTGAAATCTAATGTAAGCATTGTTTGCATACTTGAAACAAGAAAAAGAATTGTAAATAAAATGTTTAGATGCAGATAATATCAGTTACCAGATCAGAAAGTGGAATCAGCAAACCAAGTTCAAATTCTGGCTTATTCTGTTGTGTTCAATATTGCATTAATGGCTTTGAGGAAGGCATCTTCTCTCTTCAGGGTAAGCCTTGAGTACCAGCCAGTCTAAGAGGACAACTCTGAATTCACTACTGTGGAGAAGTCAATGGGGTGGGTGAACTATATAAATTTACACATTATATCATAGTGCCAATTTAAGTCCTGTTTAGTTACAAGGTGGTGCTAGAAAATTCTTGGCACAAAATAAATTCTGATATTTGGTCAGATTTTGAGAAGAGGATTAGACTGAGAATTTTCAACACCCACTTCATACTTTTTAAGAAAGTAATATTGCATTCTTGAAAAAGGAGTAGAAACCTTTTCAAATGTAGCAAAGTTAAATTTATTTGTCAAGAACATAAACATCATTATTAGTTATAACAAAAACTCAATGTGAGAATAATTAAGAAAGGAAGAAAACATCTAGACCAAAGATCCACTTTTTAAGATGTTAGTGAGCAGTCCATGGAATATAATAAATTTTGCTTATAAAGTTCTAGAATTAGGCAAGGCAGGCCTATCAGTCTTGACCTGGTTTCTTGGCTTTAGTCACTTTCCCACTACCATAAGATTCTGTTGCCTTTTCTCTAAATATTTTCATAGCAATTGTTCTGATTAACTTTCCTCTTTAGTAGCTCAATTTCACAAATTTAAGTGCAGTACTAGATTGGCAGTTAGGTATCATCATTTTACTGTTGAAATTGCTAAGTATAAGCATGAGTTCTATTCTAATAGTTTCATCTCGCACACTTCTTGCTTGTTGAACTCTCTTCTAGCTTCTTGCTTCCAACAATTCAAAAATTTAAATGCAATTGTCTTCTTCTGGCTACTTGGGTCCTGTCCTTTTAGTGTCCTCTCTCTATCTCTCTCTCCCCACTCCTTAATAGCATTTTCTCAGTTTGTTTCATTCTCAATAACCTCTGTGTCTTAGTGGCTTTATATTTGTTTGGAGTTAAATGAAAAAAAAAATAATTATAGATCTTTGTCAAGAATGAGTAACAATTTACACGTACACACATACAGACACATGCACAAAAGGCCTGATTTACTCAAGGGAAAATTGTTTTTCAGAATGACAAAAGAAGCCCACACTCAATAAAAAAAAAAAATAAAAAAACAAAAAACAAAAAAAAACAAAACAAATCACCAGGTTAGTATGATCTACCTCAGCATCACTATTCAGTATATTTAAAGCTTTCACATTTTTCATTTATTCAAATCATTGAGTTACTTTATTCATGGTAAAACCTTTAAAAGTAGAGATTACTTTAGAATGCCGGGCTTACGGCCATATCATGTTGAAACACTGGTTTTCGTACAATCACTGAAGTTAAGCAACATTGAGCCTGGTCAGTACCTAGATGGGTGACCACTTAGGAATATCAGGTGTTGTAAGATTGGATGTGTCGGTAATGTAATGCATAATGGTTTGGAATAGTTAATTGGAGAGCTGAGTTCCAACTCCCCTTGAGTTCGTTATATTCACTTATGTTGTGTATGATACACCTAATTTACATAAGTGGAGTACCGACCATATAAATATGGGTTGGTACCGGAAGACGAGGGAAGATTAAGAGATCGAATCCAGAGACTCTGCCCGACTGCGACTTAGTCAACCCATTCTGCAGGAACAGTCTTCCCAAGAATATACCAAAACTACCTGTAAATATTGTGTACCTTTTTTCATTGTTTCAATACATTTTGTTACGTACATTTTGTGTTGTATTATTATTATTCCATGCTTATTCAAGCTTCAACAACTTACGTGAAAATACCCTTGGGAAATGTATGAATCCACCTCTTCTTTACCTCCCAGCTATGGGTTAATTAGTAGGTCTGGTATCACTAAACCATTATTATCTCAAAAAAAAAAAAAAAAAAAAAAAAATTCTTACAATCTAAAAATATTTTCTGACTTTAAATAACCTGCAAAGTGTTGATAAGCTGTAGAAAATGAATCGATCAATCAATCAATTCAGGATCTCAGATCATTTCAACAGAGAAGAAAAGTTTTGTAGTTGACTTTTATCATGGCTAATAATGATTATGTTCTTGACAAATTTAAGTTTTGCTACATTTGAATAGGTTTTTAATTCTGTTTCAAAAACGTGACATTACTTACCAAAAGAATCTAATGTATATTTAAAAGAACTATTATGTCAGAGAAGACTTTTTCACAAAAGGACAAAAATGTATGATTTCTAAGTTTGAAATCTTTGTTGAGAACATTAACACAGGGATGTAGCATTCAAGCATTGGTCAAAAAGTAAGCTTTATCTGCAGTGATGCTGATCTGAGGTTGAGGAATTTCTTGTGGTGAATAGATTGGGAATTATAGGTCATTAGTAAACTATTAATCAAAAGAGGAAGAAAGGTTTTATTTGAGTAGCAGAAGGGAAAAAAGTCTGTTTAATTTCAATGTAACATACCCTGATTATAATTTCTGTACAGAAGGGCTTTGTTCTTCATTTCATGGGCATCCAAATGTATCTGGCAATATGTAATCCGCTTCAAAGATTGAGAACCTGTTTTTTGAAATAGGGAAAATAGTGCAAATGTTCAACAGAGGTCAAGGGAGATAACCTACATACTACTGCTTAACCATTTATGGACCAAACTGTCTCTAAACTGGCTTTTATATTAATAGAAATATTTTTCCACTGTTAAAAATTAAAAATAGAAAGAACCCAAGACTTTTTTCTGTCAGTTAAAACAAAAATTATATTAAAATTAAATGAAAAAAAATTTAGAGTAGAAACTTTGTAAAAAAATATTTATTAGCATTTATTAAGCTGTACCCAAGTGATGTGCTCTTTAATCTAATTACAGGAAATTTCTAGCACAATTTTTTTTTTGTAATGAAGTGTTTAATTAACATATAATAAAACATTAAAAATATTTGCAGTATTCTTTCAAGTTAACTAGTTTCTAATATTGTATAAAAGTTCTTTGTATTATTTCTAATGCTTAGAATGCTTACTCTAACAGAAACAAATATCAAGATATCACCAAACCTACATTGCATATATTATAAATATTATAGTGTCAACAGTTTACAGAAGGCAAAATTAAACATTTTTTGTTTACTGAATTAAATTGTCATTTAACAATGGGGATATTAAAATATAGGTAAAAATGTATACAGATACATCTATTGAAATAGATTCCTTTAGATTAAAAATTTTACAATTAAGGTTACCTAATGTTAGTTTTAACAATGGCATTAAGAATGCCAACACGTGCAGGTGGAGCAGCAGTTAACAGTCTAGAAGATGGAATTGGTAAGCCAGGGTCTGTTCAAATTCCAACCAAGACCATTTGTGTCCAATTTGTACTAATACCCTAAGGCATGAATCCATCTCTTCTTGCTCTAGCTATAGATTAACATTATAGAAGACTGGGATCTAGCCTTGATTGGCAACCAGTCTAGGAGAAGGTCAACTTTGTTTTCAAAAAGTGTAGAGAAGGCCACAGAAAACCATCCCACTATCTTCTTCAAGAACAATCATGGTAATGCATAGTTTATAGATATAAATAAAGAAAAGAAAGCTGTGGAGAGCCATAATTACTATGTCCTGAAGAGATATAGCACTTGAAGAGATAGATTAATTATGCTGACATCTTGTAATGCAGAAAAAAACTATTTATTCACCAATTAATTTCTGCACATCTGATGTTCTGAAAATATCAATTTGTAACGTAAAAAAATAAAAAACTTTCAAATTATCAACGTTATGAAATACAGGGGAGATAATCATGCAAGCACAATATGCAGATACATGCAAACATGCATTTTATAATGGAAACTAATGCATACATATACCACAGCATATGCACAAAACATCTTAAAAATCAATCAAGCAAAAAAGATATTTCCTATGCTAAATCATAGTATTTGTACATTGATCATGTGTAAAGCATTTTTTTCTGTCTGAATTTTTGGGATGAGGAGTTATCATTATTTACACTATTTATACACAGACTATTGTCCTCATCTTTGTTGTTATCACAACATTTCGGTTGCTGTGCACTCTGACTTTCATCAGGTGTATGTCAACCCAGGTAACTTATGAGGAATTCTAAACTGAACCCTTTATTTAATCCATGGGGGTAGTTTGTTCTCATTCCACTGCCCATGTCTAGAGATATCTTGTCTAGTCTACACTTCCACGGGATGATACCCAGCAGATTAAAGTATTGGTTCATAAATTCGGTGACATAGTAATTGTGAGTTCAATCCCTGGGCTGGGCAGTATGTACTTGGACTCAGTGGAAATAGTGAAAAATAACTGAGCAGTACTAATAATAAACACTAGATAAGATGTCCCGAGCCATGAGTGAAGAAGAATTTATCCTTGTAGATTAAATAAAAGGTTCAGTTCAGAATTTATCCTTGTAGATTAAATAAAAGGTTCAGTTCAGAATTCCCTGTAGGTTACTCTGATCAAGATACACCTGATGAAGTCTGGAGGGCACAACAGTCGAAATGTTGTGATAACAACAACAACAACAAAAATGAGGACAATAGTCAATGTGCAAGTAAGTGTTTCTTTGTTACAAACACTATAAATTTAAAGAGTTAAAGAAAGAAATCCAACTTTAGAAGTTTTGAGAATACTTGCAAGTCAATCAGGATTAAATACACAATGTCAGATTTTATTATTTTTTTCCACAGTAAAATTGGTATAAACCAATCAATGTTAGTAAAACTTTTAGGATATATTTATACAATAAACGCATCCTATGAATTTCAGCTTATAATATTTAATGTTATTAGAAATCTGTACAATAACTTATTTGGTGGTTTTAAATTTTGTTACACAACCCAAGGGTTGTTTATCATATTGTAAATATATGTAGTGTAATTATGAGTATTTATTTTTTAATTTTAGATATATAAAGACTGCCTTGGGTCATAAGAAAGGGAAAACTTCAGAAGATAGCCAAGATATTCTAAAGTTATGATGGAAACAATATTGGAAATTGCAAAAAGTTGAATAGATTAAGGAACAATCAAAAAGGAAATTGAAACATTGGCAAAATAAGAACAAAAAACTGGTTTTAAGAATATCACAAAAAGAGATTTGAGAAAATTAGAAGAATAATCAAAAAAGTAGATTGATCAACAAAAACAATATTTAAAGAAGCTGTTGTTGCAAATGAGAATAGAAAGAAAATAAACAGAATATCAAAAAATCAGTTAAAGATATGAAAGCAACCAAATTACTACCTTTGAGTAAATATAACAAAGAAAAAATTGGGAGATGGAGTACATGAAAACTGATTTCTTAACTTTAGTGTTTCACTGGATAGACCTAGGCTAGAGGTAGGGTCCTTTATGGAAAGAGTCAATGCATCGTGAAAGACAAAAGAGGGGTAGGTAGAATAATGTTTTGAGTTTGTATTCTAGGCAGTAAAATTACATATATCTTTAAAGCTGATAATGGTAATGTTGAAGATTGTCCTTGAACAAGATATGCTTTTTTGAGGGTTACAGATCACAAAAATCTAAAGCAAGTCAATGGTCTTTCACATTCTTTTGCACACCTAGTCAAAAAATGTTTCAAAAAGATACCAATTAATGGAAGTAATCCACTAAGAAACTTATGGATTATCATTAGAAAAGATGCATATATGACTGGAAAACAATATTCAAGTAAAGATTTCTGGAAAGTAATAAAAACTGATACAAGCTGAAACAATAAAAAAGTTAAAATCTATGGGAGGAAAATTGATAGAAGTTAAAGAATGCCAAGGAGTTCATATAAGATGTAAAATAATAATTTATTCAGATAGATGGCTTATTGTGTTAAACAAATATACATTTGTATGGTCTATATATTTTGGAATTATTTATAAAGATTTTTGTTATACTTATTTTGTTTGCATAATAAAAACTGACAACTCCAAAAATTATTATCAATATTTTTAAATAGGGTAGATATTATGGCTTGGCTTCAGTGATTTTCTCGCTGCCATAAGGTTGCCTCTCTGTGCCTTTTCTATAAATACTTTCATGGTAATTGTTTGGATGAGCTCTTTGCAATGGTACCTAGACATTTTTTATTTTTAAGCACAGTACTTGACTGGCATTGAGATCTCACCAATTTACAGTTGATCTGGCTAGATGTAGCCATAAATTCTATGCTAACAGTTTTTCTTGTACTTCTCACTTGTGGAACTCCTTTTTGGCTTTTCCCTTTATATCCAGTGTCAATCTATCTACTGTCTCCCTGATTACTCTTTTCTCTTCTCACTCATTATTAATGTTTCTGTTCCTAATTCTTCCACACCCTGTAATCCCTTGTGTCTTAGTGGCTTTACTACCTTGCAGAGTGATACCGATTAATAAAGAAAAATTATAAGATTAAACCTATATGACATATATCCCTGATAAAAATATATCATGAAAATTTTATCAACATCAATTAATATAATTTTATTGTGAAAACATTAACATGTGTAATAAAATCTGATAGTGTGTAACCTGAATGTTGTTTTACTGCACAGTATATTTAGGGAAGAAAACAATAACATTTTCAAAGCTGAAGCCATAATTTCTTCTATGCCTGCAGCATAAATTTAAATCAGAATGTCTAATGTTCTTTTACATCTGTAATGTTTTTTAACTGTGATGCTAGATGCAGTGTTATTCTCAAAAGTTGAGGGTTTAAGGATTACAAATAGCAAACTCAATGTGAAAGCTACCAAATATTATGTTTTATGTCAATAGCTAAACTTCTTGACTGTACATTATTTCACTCATTCACACACATGCATGCACACACACACACACACACACACACACACAAAAAAAAAACAGACTTTCATTTGTCAGACTTATATTCAGCTGTCACATTGAGTAGACACGTGAAGATGAGACAGGAAGAATGATATAGGCACATATTTTTAAAACTGGGTTCCTCCCTCACCCAACAATAAGTCCGGAAATGACACAACACCTTGCTAGAGTGGCTGACAAAACAGGTGGAAATTATATTGCTAGTGTAGTTCTGCTTCATTGCACAGCATCAGAGTCCAACCAATTTCTCAGAGAATTTCATTCCGAGACTATTATGATGATAACGATTATGTTAGCAATGATAATTGATATAATAATGATAATGAGTATTATTGGGCTGATAATTATGACAATGATAATTATACTGATAAGGATGTTAATGGCTATAAAAGGAAATACCATTCATTTTCCATTTTGACCCCAAACCAAAGAGAAGGCTTTTGCTTTGTCTACAACATTCACTCAAAAATACAAATCAGTTTCAATGCTGCTCAACCAACATATTGAATGTAGTTGATTTTTTAAAATACTATTTTTCACTCAATACAAGTCTCAAGAGCCATTCAAGGTAGAGATTTACTGAATGACGTGTTTTATAGACTTAAAACGAGGCGGTGTGAAGAGAAAATTATGAGGGTCTATAGGATAGATAACAGTTGATTCTAGACTTGAAGAGGTTTGGAGTGATTGAGCAGGAAAGCATCCTCTCAGGAGTCTGTTTCACAAAGTAGTGGCTTTTGGGAAGAAGCTGTTTGAATGGAAATTCCTTCTTACCAATGGAATACAAAGGGAGTGATGATGCTTCAATATGGCAGGTATTAGCTGTAAAGTTCCAAACTGGTGGAATTAAGAAATGTAGCTTGCTCAGAACATTTTCCACAGAAATAGTGATAAAGTAGGGAGAAGCTTACAATGTTTAAGGAGGGTGTTGAAAATAGATAATGGTTGATCCTAGAGTTGAAAAGGTTAAATTTGTAGTAATTGGGGAAGCATCCTCTCAGGAGTCTGTTCCATATAGTAGAAGTTCTTGGGAAGAAGCTGTTTGAATGGTAATTCCTTCTTATCAATAGAATACAAAGGGAGTGATGATGCTTCAATATGGCAGGTCTTGGCTGTACAGGTCTGAACTGGTGGAACTAAAGAATGTAGCTGGTTAGAAGATTTCCCACAGAAATACTGATAGAGTAGTGAGAGGTTTGCAACGTTTAATCTAGGAAAAAGGTTGTAGGATGGAAAATAATCACCCACAAGGTCATGTAAACACTTTTGTCAAGGCTGGAAAGTGAGGATTGAGCAGCACTAGTCCAAATAGGGCAGCAATACTCCATTTTTGGTCTGATCTGACTCTTGTAAAGAGTAGGTGGAGTCAGGTACTTTCTGGAGAAGTACAGAGAACTGACCATTTTTCTAGCATCTTTAGTAATGGATTGTATATATGAGTTTTAGTTGAGGTCTGGGACGAACTAAAATTGATGTTCAAAGCAAGGATTCTCTTTCAGAGTGAAACTATTTATTATGACCAGAGAGGGTTCAGGGTCTGCACAGTGATGATGAAAAGTTGCTAGTATGATTTTTGAGATATTCAAAGTTACAAATCATTTTTCCCTATAGGGCTGTTAGAGCTAAGTTAGAAGAGTGATCAGCTGCCAGGCTCTGGTCATCTAAATTTGAACATCTCAAATAAGAACGAATTAGTCTGTTTAATGGCATATCAACTCCTTATGGGTCATTTAATGCCAAATTTTTATTTTTCTATTGCTGATATTTTTTTTTTCTTTTGCAAAAATCTGTTGCTGGTAATTTATTTTTTTAAATCTATACTTTCAGTTTTTTAGCCTAGTTTGGAGGTTCACTATTTATCCATAGCTGGGACCCTAATAGGTGCTACCACCTCAGGTCAGGGTGGACCTGGGTACAACAACAATTAAGAGGTGGTTCCATACTCCTCAAAACCACCTGATCATAGGTCTTGCTGCTGGATGCTGTTTATTGTCATAATCAGGATGAATGAATTAGTTCAGTCTTCTTGGAAGATCAAATAGGACACATTTAGAATTCACACAAAAATATATTTATCACTAAGAAAAAAACAACAATGTACAATAGAAATAATGCCTTATTCCAGTCCCAGGTAATACATATTGATATAATTCTAAGAATGATAAAAGAAAATTCCAGTAAGTTATTGAGACAATTTCAATGAACTGTTAATGATTTTGACTGTTCTTCTTGGGGTATAAAGAGGGTATCCTAAAGTAGTAGTTTACCAGGATTGTTACCTGAATTTAGACTGTAAATGTGTTTCACTTGGTTGAGTTTGAAAGTGATTTTCTTTCTATCTGAATTATGATAAAGCAGAACCACAAATATCAATTTTCAAGCTATATAACAGAAACACTCACAAACAGGAGTGTACCACAGACTTTGATATTTTATATAATTATTTTAAAGTAAATATTTCCTTTGATTTGTATGGACCTACATATTGGAACATTAATCTCTCTCTCTCTCTCTCTCTCATATATATATATATATATATGTGTGTGTGTGTTTCAAGGTATGATATATATTTATGGGTAAAAGTGCTCAATATCAAGGATAGAGTGTATGTAAATGTAAAATATAAAATAAAAAAAACTGTAAACTCTGGAGGAGAAAATAGCTATAAAACTATGTACCTCCCTCAAATTTGGTATGCATATTAAAAGGATCATGGGTAAGTTCTTAACATAAAAATATAGTGTGCTGCTCATAGGAAAAAGTGGTGTTTAACTCTTCTGTTATATGGATTTAGCTTTCACTATAACAGTTACCATTTGTAACCATTCTATGTATGACTATAATTTTTTCATGTATTTTGAAAAAGCAATAACTTTTTATATTTCTTTATTGAAAAACATGCCAGTAACAACAAAATCTTTTCCGCTTTCCTTTTATTTTACTAATTCCTGTTGACTAGTTGATGATAATGAAACTTGAATTCATGTGAATAATGACACTAAAGTTTTGGCAAATTTGAACAAATGTAGCTGCAAAAAATGGTGTTAAAAGACAGTTTTTCTTTTGACACTGCTATTAATGATATACCTTAGTAAATTTTTTTGTCTTGAGAAGCTATGTTTAGAATGTTAGTATAATCCAAACATGAAATTGGATTTATGCATTTTGTTTTTTTTTCAAGAATTGACAAAAAAATATTAAAATGCTCATTAGCTTGTTTATTTACAAGAATAATTTTATATTTATAAGATTATAAAATATATGAACCAAGTACAACACAATATTTTATTACTTACAATATAAAGAATTAGCTACCAAAAGAAGTTTTTTTATTTGTAAATTTATAAAAAATATCTGTGAACAAGATATTTTAAATATATACGCATAATGACAAGAAACTGTAATTATAAATAAAAAAAAAAATGAATTTTTTTCCTGTCAATTCTTTCAATTTGCTTTTATCACATAAATTCACTAAAATAGGTTGAGACTGAGAAAAAAAAAAACAAAAAAAAAAACATATAAATCCAGTTTCATGTTTGGATTTTATTAAAATTCTAAAAATAATTTTTCAAAATGATAAAAATTGCTGATATGGTAATAACAGTGTCAAGAAAAAAGAACATTCTTGTGAGTTTTTTTCTGTATGTGTGCATTTGTTAAACTTTGCCAAAAATCTTTATGACAACAAAGACTGTCAAACAGATATTTCTGAACTATACATTTTATTTGCTTCACCTTAGTATAAAAAAAGTTAAAATGCATGATTTAACTTCTATATTAGCAAGTTGGTGAATAAAAAAAAGTCTATTTCTGGAATACAGGCTTTGAAAAATACTTAGGGCTGTTGAAAGTATACATACAAAGATCCTGCTCACATGCCCTAGTGAGGTTATTAAAGAATGTAACAATAATATATGTTGATGAAGCTAACCTGGCTAATAAAGAACGAACCGCAGATAGAAAAGTAACACACAATCCCACAACTTTTTTGATAATATTGGCCTAAGGGTTAAGTGCATCTGTATACAAAATGCCATAGTTTTTTTTTTTATACAGTTTTAAGTTACTCTTAGAAAATATGTAGCACTTTTTAAAATCTAGCATAGAATATTAGTTTGCATACATTAAAGGATTTATGGGCATCAAACTGAAACATATGTTTCTAAGTGTAGATGAAAAGATATACAATAGAATTTAAACATTTCATTTTTGATATAGAAAAGAGTCTTCCCTTTGAAAAAAAAAGGTAATAGCCTGCTAGGTCCCAATTTTTACCCACTTATTAAAAAGGTTGGGAAGCATTAAAAAAACAACAAACTACCCATGACTTGTAGACACATTTAGAGAATTTTAATAATAATTTAGACTTAACTATCACCAAATTAAAATCTTACCTACTAAAACAATTGGTGCAACTGGTATTTCTAAAAGAACTTATTGTAAAGATTAAAAATTATGAAGAAAAAGAAAAAAACAAAACACCTTGTAGAACCTAGCAACTGACCACTTATCAGGCAACATTATATGTATTATAATAAAATTATTTATTCTATTAATTAGCATGCCTCACTGTAACAAACAAAGCTTTAGAGTATACATATAAATTCAACACATTCAGTTTTTAAATAGCTAAATTTAATATTCATGGAATAAATACTTGAGAATAGAGTTACATATAACAACTATATGACCAAGAAAAGCTGTCCTTAAATGTGTTTACAGTGACTGGAAAGTTTGAATAGGTGCATTTATATTTGTTGTACATTCTTGTAAATTCAATCAGTTCTTTTTAATCTCCTTCAGTTGTAAACTAGTTGGTTACATATAAAACAACAAATACAGGAGGTTATTCTTCCTACTAATCTATATACATCTTTTGTCTAAAACTTTGAAACATCTTTTTCAGGCAAAATTAGTCTAAATAACAGAATTACATTTGAAAAACAGATGTGTACTGAAGCAGAAATGGAAAACTGAAAACAACATCCAGAGACAACCTGTATATACCTTTTTACAAGACACATGCATCTATTAAGTAGATGGCTTGATTAAAAAAAAAAGCCAAATTTTAATAGTCTCAAATGTTAACCAAGGTCAGAAAATTGAAAACTAGAAATATTATAAATAACTGCAGAAAACATTATTCCTCTGAACTTAAAAAATTGACTATGAAAACATTGCAGGATCTCAATATTTTTTTTCTATAGAGAAATGTGATTTTATTATAGGAAATGAAGATTTAACAATATAAATAAAATAAATGTTAAAAGATAAAAAGAAAACTTTCATACTGTACCTTCTGTGAGATCTGCAAGCACATGTTTGATTCCTTGATCAAAGGCTCGGGCATCATCAGCTCTTTCAAATGTAAGCCCAAATCGCTTGTCATCCGTCCGCCAGTGGTGGAACTTTGGATTCACCACTGTGTACTGGATATCCTTTTTTATAACACAACTGAGCACCACCTGAAAGGAGAAGAAAAAAATACATTATAACAACTGGAAGAACCTATATAATTTACTAAAAAATGAAAGTTTTTATATAAGCAAACAGGTTCTAAAAGATGTCTCTTCTTTTTGAATTGGAGCACTTATTTTTAAAACTTAATTAACAGGCACAACATTCTGATGTTCAAGATAAGACAAAAAAGAACTATAGACAATTTTGATTCTTAAGTTATGTATTCAGACTAATGAGGTGTAGATATTTTGAATGATTTCGGCACGGAAAGTTTAATTGGTGAGGGGAGTTCAAATTCTGGGCAAGTCATTTGTGTTTATTTTGAGGAAGACATGTATCCATCTGTTCTCTTCCCAGCTATGGGTTAAATAGTAGGGTAGATAGGACTCTTTACCATTGGGTGGCAACCAGTCTAGGAGAAGAAAATCATGGAGAAGATAATGGGAAACTACTTTATTATATCTCCCAAGAATGCATAATAATGCCTAGATAATAAAGAGGAATCTATGAAGATCCACAATTGTTTATGGCCTGAAAGGGCAAGGCTAACAGTTCTATTTCAAAATATCCATAAAGAGATATTAATTAACCATGTTTAACAGATCAAAATAACACATACATATAATGGTGGTCTGTCAGGTGACCTCAGAGGTGACTGTGGAGTCAAATGCGGGAATAGCAAGGATATTTGCAATAGAAACAGAGAAACTGGGGCCTGGAGGTTTGGATATTTCTACTACTGCCTCTCTTTTTGCATGGGACTTATGCTCTCCTGTTGATTGTCCTCAAATGTCTGTTGCTTCATGCATCAGGGCATGCTATCCAATTTGATCTTGTGTGCACTCTTTAAGTGGCTTGGAGGCTATTCCAGAATTGGTGATGTTGGCCCTGATGCAATCTTTAAGACTTCTTAATGGTCTATCATGCTTTCTATTTCCATTAGAGAGCTTACCATAGAAAAGTTACTTTGGGATTCTGTCATTGTCCATCTGGATGATATGCCCCATCCAACCAAGTTAGGCTTTCAGGATCATGGCTTTAATGCTAGTGGTTTCTGCATTTTCCAGGCCTCAATGTTTGTGATCCTATCCAACCATTTGATGCCCAGCACACACATATATATATATATATATATACATACACACACTCTTCTATTAGCTATTCTAGACACATGATCCATAGGGTTATTTTCATAAAGCTTTTACAAGCAAAAATTTATACAGACATTACAAAAAATGCATATATGTGTAATGAAGTCAATGATAATTGTCTCTCTCTGAAACTACTTGACTATAAAAGAAATGGTCAAGCTTCACTTATGGTCAGTAGTAAAACTGCATTAAATAAAGTTTCACTACAAGCTGAAATGTATGTTCATGTTTTTCTTTATAATATATATATATATATATATATATGTGTGTGTGTGTGTGTGTATGTGAAAATAATTTGAGGTTATGAAAGCCATTTAATTGTAAGCAACAGCTAACCTAGTTGAACAATTGAAAAACCTGAAACAAAAATGATTGGCTGTAGCATAAATTAGAATTTAGGATATTTTGATTATAGCTGTTATTCTAAGTCGTTTTTAAAGCTTTTACATTCATTATAATTATTGCATCAAAACTTTCACTTGATTATGCTGATGACCTTGTAAATAACAAAAGAATCTCATGCTGATTGAAAACCAATGAGAAGCACAAGTTTGAATCAAAAAACAAAAGAAATATTTCATAATAGATTCAGATATATAGAACATAGTGGATGGTTCAAATTGTAGCAATTTGAATATATATATATAAAACAGAGATGGGAATAAAGTGTATTGAACAGATTTTACAAGAGTAAAAATAACTTTTTGTTCTAATTTTAAAGTTAGTTTTATAAAAAAGCATTTTAAAACTAAATATCAAGTCTCTTTACTATGAAACTTGTATGTGAACATCAAACCATATCTACAAATGGCAGGTTGTTGCAATCAAAAATTGTGTTGATAACTTGATTAATATAGGAACAGGAATATATATTTGTGGTATTTTATAGAAATCTTTTTTTTTGTTCTTTAACAAAATTTTCATGTAAAAAAAAAGAAAAAAAAAAAAGAAGTAAATTAAATCTAAGATTTAAAAATTTTCTAATTAAAATTATGTGAATGGTTTGCAGAAAGATAGGGAATGTGGCAACAGATTCAAGGGGTAAATTATGAAAAACTGATCACTGGTGGTTAAATCAACAGACAATGAAATTCACAAGAAACTAGGAGTTCAGTTGTATAAAAGATTTGAAGATTCAGGCAGTTGTTTCATTACAGACAAAATTTTTTTTTTTCAGAACAGCATATGAGTTTTCTTGTTGGCAATGAAGTGAATGATTGAAGGCTATTCTTAAACCAGAATCATGTACAACTCCATGACAGTTGCCAAATTGGGCTAAAAAGTAGAACATTCAATAACATTTGAAAGCCTGGCAATATAAAATTTTGAATTGATTTTCAGTTTAAGTTAACCAAGCTTATTTTAAAAGTACCCACCAAAAGTCAAAAATGAAATTTGAAATTTAGTAGCACTGGGCTTTTAAAAGCAGCCCTAATTGGCAACCATGCTCTGTAATAAGATTTATTTTTTAATATTAAAGTTAACTCAATACAAATTTTGAAAGCCACTGAAAGTAGAGAGTTACTGTTTAAAATGGAAATGATGAATGAAGTGTGAAATGAATGAAAGAGGAGGTGGTAGGAAGTGAAGATAAAGAGGATAGATAATGACTGACCGTTGACTGGAAGAGGTTAAGATTGTACTGTTCAGGGAAGCACCCATATTGGACTGTTCCACAGTTCTTGGGGAAAAAAGCTGTCCGAGTGGACATTTGGAGTACAGAGGAAATGGAGGTAATTAAATCCTGTGGTAGCATGGCATGTTTGAGTTGTAAAGGTGTGAACTAGTGGAACTAATGGAGCTTGTATGAATATTTGCTATGGAAATAGTGATAGTTTTGTGATGTTGCATCTGTGGGAAAGAGGCTGCATAGAAGTGAATAAATCTTTCTGCTACAAGACCACATAAATGTGTTTGATCAAGGCTGAAAAGTGAAAATTGAGCAGCTCCAGCCCAGATAAAGCAGAAACATTCCATTTTTAGTCTAATTTGAGATAAATACTTTGTTTCTTTGAACCATTGTACCTGTTCAAAAGTACATATCTGTTTAATGTTATTTTTATTGCAACAATTATGACAGAAGCATTTATATAAGCTTTAAGCATATTTATATAACAGAGTAGCTCTGTTCGGATTCTTGCCAAGAAATAATGAAATCATAAACTTTAAATTATCATAATTTATTTAAATTTTTTATTTTTGAAGCATAGTGACAGAAACTACATATTTGACAGTAAAAACATTCCATAATAGAAATATAGTAAAGAAAGTACTTTAAAACGAAATTAGGACATTGTGCAAAGTTTGTGTTCATGGTCTTATACTTTAATAACCATGAATATTTTGCAGCATAAATTGTTGCTAACATTACCATTTTGTTCTAAAAATAGACTTTAGATTTTCGACATAAAAGAAAACATTTTGGTAGCAGAAATAAGGCCCTTTGAAAAAGTAAATAAATGCCAAAATTATTTTTGCCAAGAGTAAATTAAAAATTAGCATTAATCTCAAGTGGTTGGAATTCAGAAATTCATTATTTTAACTCTTTGAACCCCAAAATTCTAGTTCAGGTCTTTCTAAAGACACTGCTTTCTTATAAATATATTGTAATCATATTTATTGTTTGAGATGGAAACAAAGTATTGTTAAGAATATAAAAATTAACTTTTTCTTCAAAGAAGTCAAATTCTGCTATGTATTTAGAGATCCTTGATAAAATACAAAGAAAAATCTGCAATGAAATTGGCCCCAACCTGACATCTTGGCTTCTGTCACTTTCTCACCACTGTAACATAGCTTCTCAGTAACTTTTCTATAAAATATTTTTCATGGTAATTGTTCTGATGACCTTTCCTCAATGGTACCTAGACTCTACAAATTTAAGCACAGTAACAGATTGGCAGCTAAGTCTCATCATTTTACAGTTGATGTAATTGTAAGTTCTATGCTAACAGTTTCTTCTCTCACACTTCTCACTTGTTTCTACAAGTGAGAAGTGTGAGTCTTCTGGCTTCTTGCTTCCCAGTCAACTTTTATCTTCAAAAATTTAAATGCAATGTCAGTTGTTATCTTGTCTTCTTAATTCCTGCTCTTTTAATAGTGTTTTTTATATTCTCTCACATCTTGCATCTTAGTGGCTTTATTGCTTTGTTTGGGGTAAAATGATTAAAAAAATGCACAAAACATTAAAATATATATGGAAAATAATTTGTCTATATTGTCAAAAGGTGGTTATGATTTTGTTTCTTTTGCAACTTATGCATTCAGTTTTGTTGAAGGAAATTGCTAGCAAGGGCTTAAAATTTCAGTAAAAATTTTACTCTAAGGTATTTTTTCAAATTTATTTTTGATCCACACTAAATTTTAAAGTTTAAAAACCTAAGTTTTAATTCAGTTAAAATGCATCTGTGTATCCTCTCAAGAAACACAGTTCCTTAACTTAGCTAAAGAAAATTTCTGGCATGGAAGAACTTAAATTCTTTTTTCAAAAAGTTTGTATGCAGGAGAGGGGGAGGATACAGACATGGCTGTTGTTTGTGAATTTAAAAATAAAATAACCAAGTTATAAATTTAAAAAACCAACAGAACAAAATCTGAACTTTTTATAAATATAATTGAGCAAGTGCTTGATTGACAGAACAGATTAAAAATAAATCTAGAAATGTGAGGCACATATAGAGGGACTAATTTTCCATTTCAAATTTCTCTTAATTCCGTTAATTCTGGGTTTTTAAGGAATTCCGTTTTCAGTAAGGATTCCATTTTTTTCCCAGTTTTCAGTATAGATTTCTGTTTTTGCTTCATTATAATACTTAGTGAGAAAGTGTAACAATGTATAAATGCCATTAAAACAA